TGGTAAAGCATCATTTTTATGTCCAAATGGTACTATTTTCAGTCAGGTATGTAAATATGTATACATATTATGAATAAGCAAGTACATATGATTATGTATAAGAGTTGCAATTGTTAGTATTGGTTTTCACTTAGAATAAAATTTATGGAATTTTAATAAAACTTTTGAGGAGTTATAGAATTAAAATAAAGAAAAATATCAAAGATAAAATGCCTCGCTTTTCAAACACTGTACGTGTACAGCGGCCATAAGACCTATTCACACATACTGTTCACTAGTTGGTGGAAGGCAAGCTCTATGAGCTCAATACCTCAAGCCAAGACGTAACGACCACCAAGAGGTATTAAGTGTATTTCTAGTAAATCGGTTCTTGAACGATTGCAGAATCAAGGGATCTACCTTGGACAAAACTGTTTCGCAAAATGATATTCACATTCCTGAGGTCGCGATAGCAATGGAAGAATGATGCTAAAATCGGGATTCAGGTGGTGCAATATTAAAATATCTAATACTTGTTCTTTCATTGACTAGTTGTGGTTTGAACTTTAAGCAATGGCCATGATGATGTTGGTCCCAATGTCCAGCTTGAAATTTGAAATAGTAATTGAATGTCATCAAAGTCAAAAATCTATTTTTTCACGTAGACCAGCGGTAAAGGGGTTGTTGTTGTAACAGCTTAAACTATACAATTTTAATCCGGGGGTTCTGTATTTAGGTCCAAGCCAAGAAATTGGGCTACTTCAACAGGGTTAGTCCATAAATCCATTGGGCTAAGTGAAGTAGGATGGGCTGGACAGTTGAATATGTGGTGGGTATCATGGAGACCCTGTCCACAAGATGGGCATATATTGGGGACGGCACGGTCTATGCGGGATCAGTAGGCATTGAGCCTGTTGCTCCATCCCGATCTCAGTTGTGCCAGAGCAACTCTTGTTTTCCGCGACAGGTTCTTCTCTATTTCTGCTATGGGCGGTGGGCGACCTCCAAGAACGACATTCATGCGGTAACCTGAAACCGCGGTATTGATGGCGTCTCTATGAATGTCGTTCAAAGCTGCTGTATACGAAGTCCCATCTAAGGGATCCTGAACATAACTTCGTATGCTCTCTTCGTATACACGAAGGTCCTTCCTGACATACCTCGGGGGAGCATCCAACTGTGTGATGTTAAAGTTGGGATGACTCCTCCGGTGACATCCCAGGAGGAACTGTTTAGTCAGCATGACATTATGTTCCTTGACTGGGAGGACCTTCGTTTCCTCATGTAGATGGTGTTCTGAGGTTATTTGCATGCAGCCCGTTACAGTCCTTAGGGCAGCATTTTGGCAGCTTTGGATATTTCTCCACTGGGTATCACTCAGCGATGAAGACCACACTGGAGCAGCATAATTGACCACTGACCGGCCAATTGTTTTATAGGTAGCCAACAAGGTTTCTTTGTCCATTCCCCAAGTGCTGCCGGCTAGCGCTTTGAGGACCTTGTTTCTACTTCGCAATTTGTGCGTAATTCAGTGGCATGAGCTGAGGAAGTAAACAGGCTGTCAAAGGTGACCCCCAAAATCTTTGGGTGGTTCACAGTCGGAATTTGGTTTCCATCGACTACGACGCCTAGGTTCAAGTTTACCTCCTTCGTCCAGGTGGTGAAAAGTGTAGCTGAAGATTTCGCTGGTGACAGTTTCAGGTTACGTCCAGTGAAGAAGTTGTGTATTTCTCCGAAATAACCATTCACTCGATCGCATAGCTCATCAACGTTTTGGCCCGTCGCCATAATGGTACAGTCGTCCGCATAAGATATCACTTCCACACCTTGTGGAGGTGTGGGGAGTTTAGAGAGGTAGAAGTTAAACAATAGGGGGATAAGACACCGCCCTGTGGTTCTCCCTGTTTAACTCTACGGGTTTTGGAACATTTGTCTCTAAACTCAACGAACGACTGACGGTAAGGGGGTCAAGGCATTGTGTTGGAATTCCGAAAATAGGTTTATGGATGGAGATTGCGGTTTTCATGAATTAGATTGAAAACATCTGCAGAAGCTTAATAACACATACACATATGTACGAACTTTAATCTCATTTACCGTATTCCAACAGAACCTTATCCATTGTAGTATCAATTCACATTGTAATGATGAAGGTTACAATAGACTTTGACTTGTGCGAATTGTATTCGTTTTTATTCCAGTGTAAGAACCTATAATCCAATATACATCAATCATTTTTACGAACGCGGTTCAAATCTATTCGATCCTGACGACCTTTCAGGATTTTATAATTTTTCTTTATTTCTTAAAATGAATTTTTGAAGTTGAATATTCTTCGGGCTTGAGTTCGAGTCTCACTTGGAGATATTTCAAAATTGTAATTATATTTTTTACTTGGAATTCATTTTCAGGCCCACTACTTGCGCCATATGCTAGTGTCACTTGTAAACATCGTCTTTTTAACTAAAAAGTTTTGAAGAAATATAATATGGGAATTGTAACAAAGCCCTTAATTAAATTTAATTCTACTTTTTTGAGTTAGATCGAAGTTTACATGCTTTTTCAGTGTTGCAATCTTATCTATCATAGGAATCGTGTTGCTCGATTCCTAACTGACAGTTAAATATATATCTTTTATATTTTTTTTAATATTCCTAACAACAGATATTGAAAAATTTAATCCTAATTTGTATAATGAGATAATTCTTATGCTTTTATAATTATATACATAAAAAGTTCAAAACGTTAGTTATATAAAATTATTTAATAGTAATAATAAATAATAAAGTGAAAACACACATTTTCACGTGGGAATATAATGCAACAATACCTTTCTTGGCTACATACTCGTACGTACTGTCAGCAAACAAAAGGAAACATATGTGGCTTGGAGGCAACAGCACACACATTCAAATTTACAATGTTGCAGAAAAGGATACCCATTCGTACGTTGTGTTGAAAACAATTAAGAAGGAAACAAATGTGAGTTGAATGCAAACATGTGTATGCATTGCATATCCTCCTACTTTTTTCAACATGTACAATATGTGAGGCAGTAAAGGAGCAACAAAAAATTACGATAGAGCTTAAGCTTAACTACAAGTATAAGTGCATATATTAAACTATTTAAAACACCTAAGAAAATTAAAAGCAATTAAGTCGAAACAGGTGTGAGAGGGAAAACAATTTTAAGGAAATTTATTATCCTTTATGTTATTATAATGAATTGGAAGTTTATTTTTGAAATAAAAAGGAAATGGAAATTATTAATTGTATTAATTTCCCTTTATTACAGATTGCCTTAACTTGTGATTGGTGGTTTAATGTTAAATGTGCTACAACAGCTCAATTGTATGTGTTGAATGAACGTTTATATAAATATATTTTACCTTTTACACCCAAATTTCCCGAAGACTATAGTGGACCCATAGTGGATAAGTAAGTTTAGTTAATATTAGACAAACTTTAACTTAATAATGAATTCAATTCAAATTTTTAGATATTTGGCCATGAAATTCCAAGAAATGGAGGAAAAAATGCGTTTAGAAAAGGAGAAAGCTATGCAGGAAGAGGCGGAAGCTGAGGCTGAAACAGAAAAACCAGTAACTATAAGCGAAGACAATCACTTGGAAGAAACCACTACAGAAGATAATATCAATAGACAAGTAAAGTCTCATACACAACAAACCAAACATGAATCTGTCAATTCACAAGTTAGTGAACAAAGTTCTGAACGTAATCTACTAATAGACGATGAAGTTGATGATATATCACAGAGAGGTACTGTGGACAATTTTGAAAGTACAACTATAGCCACTATGGCAGCTACCCTGAAATCTGAACCTATATCATATAGTTTAAAACCGATTATTGTATCATCCACTGCGGGACCCGACTACGATGAGGAACAAAGTCATGAGTATGAAAAACGAGATCATGAAAAGGTTATGAAAGATTTAGAGGAGGTGAAAAAAGCTGATACAGAAGAATCACTTGAGGATGATGATAAAAATAGTGAAGGTAGTACAGAAAAGTCAGTGCTACCACCACCACCAACCGAAACAGCATCAAAGAAAATGCAAATAACTGTAGAAAAAGTTGATGTTATTGAAATTAAACCAGATGAAGCTACTGGTCATTTAATACGTGATATGTTATTGAATAGTAAACACACACAAAATAAATAGAAACCATTTTTTTTTTTTGCGTTTAAGCAGTAGAGTATTAGGTGAATGTTTAAAATGTAAAGAATAACGTAAGAGAATTTGTTATTCTTTCTGAAGGGAAATAAAACATTATGGTTTGATTTAATGTATACGAAAAAAATTAAAATTTAAAAAAATCTAACAAAGAAAAATTTAGCAGTTAGTCGATTAATATTTAGCAGAAATGTTGGGTTTAGTTTATAAAATACTATTTTAAAATATTTCGAATTTATCATAAATTTATCATAAATAGTTAAGGAAATATTTTGTCTCTTTTAAATGAATATTGCTTGTTATCAAAGATTAAATTTTTCCTTTCTGAAAATTTGTTTAAACAAATCTTGTGTCACAAGCTAAATTGCAAGATGTTTTATAATGAAAACCCATAATGTTTTATTAATTTAAGTTAAATTTAGTAAAAATAAACACTTTTTTGTGCCTTTTGTTGTAGTTGTTGTGCGGTAAATTATCTTTTAGATTACAATTTAAGGCAAGTTATTTTAAAAATAATATATATAAAATTAGCATTATTTATAACAATTATAAACTTGCCATATTTAAGTTGTCGTTGTTTATAATTTTAACAAATAAAAAATATTTAAATAAAAATATATAAATTTAAATGAATTAAATAAAATGTATAAAAAATCACACTTAAATAAATACGCCACGAAAATTCTTAAAAAAAATGCTTTGTTAAAATATTTATCTTATTGTAAATAAATAAATATATATGTATATTTTTTATATTCCTATTTAATAAATATATAATTTATAAATAAATATTTAATAAAAATTTAAAAAATAAACACTTACCTTTTGACCTTTATTTAAGCATTCACGTGCCAATTGGGCATTATCTAGAGTAATATGCAATTCATCCATTAGTTTTTCATTCTGTAAGCAAAAGAACACACAAATTACTATTATACAACCAGCGTTTGTTACATGATGCTTACCTCATCCACTAATTTTCGATAATGATGATGCTGATGATCTTGACGAGCACATTCTCCACAACATACTAAATCACATTTTGAACAATAACGATCGCTATGACGTTGATGTCGTTTACAAAAGCGTGATTTAGTTAAACGTATTAATTCTGCATACGGTGTTGTTTCCTTATCGAAACGTTGTAGTGTATGCAATTTCAATATTTTACTATTTTTATGTACATTATCGAAACAACGTTTGCAATAGTAACATTTGCAAATACGACATTTACCCAACGAAGGTACTAATTCACATTCACCACACTTAATAACTGATGCAGCACTAGCATCTGCATCATGTAAACTAATATTTAGATTTGAACGATTAGGTGCGCTCATTAATAATGTATTATTGCCTGAACCATCTTTGCGATGAAAACGCCAATGATTAAGTTGTCCCATTAAAAAGAAATTCATATCAAAATAATCACGTACATTAAAATTGGTAAATTGTTTAGTTGGTTCTTGGTTTATGGGTATGGGCTTGAGACATGTACCGCAGGTTAGATTATGACGATTGTGATAGACACAATTTTCGCACATATTGTGGCCACAGGCCAGTAGAATAGGACGATTACTTTTGACATGGTAATCTGTAGTAGAAGAGAAGGAGGAATTGTAATGGAATATAAAAGAGTTTTAAATCTGAGATCAATAACAACCAAAATCATCACTACATTTCGTATAATAGGTGAGATGGACTGCTCTGGCCTAGTCTAGATCATACATAGGTATGTACTAGGGTTCTATAAATCGACTTTCGAATAATCGAACAATCGACTTTTTGTCGAAAAGTCGAAGTCGACTATTTTGTTCCAAAAAAGTCGATAACTCGACTATCGTCTATGAAAAAAGTCGAAAAGTCGACTTTGTAAATAAAAGTCGAAAAGTCGAAAAAAGTCGATAAGTCGAAAAAAGTCGAAGAAAGTCGAAAAAAGTCGAAAAGTCGAAAAGTCGGAAAAAGTCGAAAAAATCGAAAAGTCGAAAATTTTAAAAAAGTGGAAAAGAGGTCAAAAACTCTAAAATAGTCGGAAAAACTCGAAAAAAGTAGAAAAAATAGTCGAAAAAAAGTCGAAATAAGTCGAAAATTGTCAAAAAGTCGTAAAAAATCGAAAAGTCGGAAAAAGTAGAAAAGTCGGAAAAAGTCGAAAAGTCGAAAAAAGTCGAAAAGTCGAAAAGTCGAAAAAAGTCGAAAAAAGTCGAAAAAAGTCGAAAAAAGTCGGAAAAAGTCGAAAAGTCGAAAAGTCGACGATTTATAAAATACTAAAAGTCGAAAAGTCTAAAAGTCGACTTTTAAATAAATGAAAAAGGTCGAAAAATCGACTTTTCATAAAATGGAAAAAGTCGAAAGGTCGAAAAGTCGACTTTTCGTTTCAACTATAGAACCCTAGTATGTACTATTTATTTAAAACATATTAACCAATTCACAATAGATGTCCTATAGTTGTGTTATAACAAATTTTTAAATCCATAACATTTTTTGAAACAAAAGACAACAATTATAAAAAAATTACAACATACCAGTTAGAATCCCTAAAAAATTATTTTCTTATATTCCTGAGAACCCTAAAATATCAACAGTTGTCCAAAGAAAACATGCGCTAGAGCAACCTAACTGTTTATTTATTACACATTTCATTCATAGACAAAAAAAACCAAATAGGTACCTGTTAAAACATCCTTACTTACCACTGGCAAACCTTTCGGCCGTATCATAATAAAAGGAATATTCATTGCGACATTTTGGACAACGGCGTGCATTGTTTAAAGTATTGGCCACAAACCGGCTGTCAAAGAGTTTTATACCATGAAAATTGTTTAACATTTTGGATATGATGCACTTTTAAGTCTTAAAAACATTCAAATATATGACTTCTGTAACTTTTTTATTACTACTCAATAACAGTATATGACAAAATATATTGACTAACATTTACTAACATTAACATTTATTTCACTTTTATTTTAATAATTTGTTTTAAATTTGTATACAACAAATGCAAAACTGCAATTTGTATTTAACAAAAAATACAACGAAACAAAATACTAAAGCAAAATATAAGAAAAACAATCAGAAAGCGCAAAAACAAAAGCTTTGCCGTCTGTAAAACAACAACAAAATGAGTAAACAAAATAATAAATGGCAGAGGAACAAATGGAATTGAAATCGTAACAATATTGCCGTTCGTAATGGATTGATTTATGAGCTAATTAAGTTTGAAATACATATTATTACATTATTAATTATTTAAATTTATTAAACAATTTAAATTTTAAATACATTTTAACATTAGTACATTGAAATTTTTGTTAGCTCAAACAATCCCACTAAATCCCTGTATATTCTGAGCCTTTCAAAGTCTGGCAATCGTATTTACAACAAAGTCTCATTAAGCAGAGCAGTCTAACGGTATTTCATTAAAACTATTCTTTTTTTATACCTACATATTAATAACTACATGAATCATTTTTCTTACCTTTATTATATTTATCATAATGATAGGTATATTTGTTGCAACATTTAGGGCAGCGGCAGGCATTTTTCAATGTATTAGCCACAAAAAAACGATCAAATAGTTGAGTGTTTTGCGTATTATTAACCATTTTGATGGATGTTTTTATACACGAATTCACCGCGAATGCTTTTCTTTCGAAGCTAGTTTTTAAACTTTAATAATAAAACTCACTAGTTCTGAAGTTCTTAACTTTTCCGGGAACAATATTTTTTAATTTTCTTTAATAATTTATAGTTAGTTCTATTGTTAATTGATTTTTATCATAACTTTATCACTGACTCGTTTAAATAAATTAACTTCAATGCGAAATTATTGTGCAAATTTACTTTAAAGGCAATTAAGGGATCAGTGGTACCTATAGAAATGAAAAGAAAATGTGATAAATGAAATATTGTGGAAAGTAAACACAGTGTTGCTAACACGACCATTGGAGTTGGCGTTTTGCTAAAACTGGGGGTTCTCGTTAGGGTTCTATAAATCGACTTTCGAATAATCGAACAATCGACTTTTTGTCGAAAAAAGTCGAAAAGTCGAAGTCGACTATTTTGTTCCAAAAAAGTCGATAACTCGACTATCGTCTATGAAAAAGTCGAAAAGTCGACTTTGTAAATAAAAGTCGAAAAAAGTCGGAAAGTCGAAAAAAGTCGAAAAGTCGAAAAAAGTCGAAAAAAGTCGATAAGTCGAAAAAAGTCGAAAAGTCGAAAAAAGTCGAAAAGTCGGAAAAAGTCGGAAAAAGTCGAAAAGTCGAAAATAGTCGAAAATTTTAAAAAAGTGGAAAAGAGGTCAAAAACTCTAAAATAGTCGGAAAAACTCGAAAAAAGTAAAAAATAGTCGAAAAAAGTCGAAAAAAAGTCGAAATAAGTCGAAAATAGTCAAAAAGTCGTAAAAAATCGAAAAGTCGAAAAGTCGGAAAAAGTCGAAAAGTTGAAAAAAGTCGGAAAAAGTCGAAAAAAGTCGAAAAAAGTCGAAAAGTCGAAAAAAGTCGAAAAGTCGAAAAAATTCGGAAAAAGTCGAAAAGTCGAAAAAGGTCGGAAAAAGTCGAAAAGTCGGAAAAAGTCGACCATTTATAAAATACTAAAAGTCGAAAAGTCGACTTTTAAATAAATGAAAAAGGTCGAAAAGTCGAAAATCGACTTTTCATAAAATGGAAAAAGTCGAAAGGTCGAAAAGTCGACTTTTAACTAAATGCAAAAAGTCGAAAAGTCGACTTTTCGTTTCAACTATAGAACCCTAGTTCTCGTATTTCGATTCGAAAGAAAAAGCCTTCGAAATACAACGTATGTATTTAAGACAGGCATGGAAAATTCCGTATTTTAGTACTTTTTCCAGTACTTTCTGATATTGAAATATACCGTGGTACTGCCAGGACATTTTCGGTACTAACGGTCTAACTTATAAACTTTTGATAAATTGGTCACATCTATAGAACATGTGTATAGTATAGTTAATGAATAGTTTGTAGTCTATTCTATAATCTACTCTACAGTTTAATATATATTCTAGTTAATAGGCTAGTTTATAGTATAGTCTGTAATCTAGTTTTTACTCTAGTCTGTAGTTTAGTTTATAGTGTAGTCTATTATACAGTCTAATTAATGGTTTAGTATATAGTCTTGTTAATAGGATATTGTCTATAGTATAGTCTATAATATAGTTTATAATCTAGTCTAGTCTATACTCTAGTTTTTACTTTAGCCAATTCTATAGTCTAATCTATAGTCTAGTCTATATTCTTGTCTATTGTCTAGTTTATAGACAACTTACCTTACTTACCTTTAAACTTTATAAAATTAAATAATTTTAAATAAAACATTATTTATGCATAATCCCATTCATTAAAATTTGTGTTCCATTTTTCCATATATATTTTTTACCTTATACCAATTGTACCACAGTTCTATAACCGAAATTGAAAGTCTACTTTTAGGCTTAATAAAAAAAAAATAAAAATTTGTTCCAAATAAAACCAAATCTAAATATTCCACTGCCTTAAATAAAAAAAAAAAAATACAAATAAACCAAAAGTACGCTAAACTAATTAAGAAAACATAGAATCTAATAAATTATTTTGTCTTTCACGACGATTTGATTCATCCTGACGATAACGTCTTAATTCCTCATAAGCCTCATCATCCGTTTCCAGTTCATAGCGGCACATGGGACAGGAGTTGGCCTGTAAAAGGGATAGAGAATTCTTTATTCATAACCTTACTTTACGAGAGAAGTATCCCTCTTACCTTTTTCAACCACAATAATATACACTCCTCATGGAATTCATGTTTACAGGGTAATATTTTATATTTTTCACCATTCTCTGCTGGTTGTTTGCACACAGCACACTCCAAATTCTCTTTATCATCGTCGATGGTGATTTCATGTACTGGCAATTCAGCAATGGCTCTTTTGGAAGCCTCAGGTACTTCAATTTCCATATCAATGCCGTTCATTATGGCCAATACCTGTAGACGTTTATAGTTGCGTTCGAAATCATTGGCCCCCTCTGGACCAGTGGGTGTATGACCCAATTCATCAAAGTAGTCAGACATTTTGGAATGTTTGTGTGTTATTCTATGAAGAGTAAATATGGAAAGTGAGTTAGAAAGCATATTTTTTTAAAAAAAGTTTGTTATTTAACAAAATTTCAAAACTTTAAAAAAATATCATTTACTTTTGGAAAGGATTGTTAAGATGCAGCTTATATCATAAAATCTGAGGATTTATAGTTATTTGCGATTCGAGGAATATCAAATCAAAATAACTGACTAATACTGGAAATATGATCTAATCCAGTACTAATCACTACTATTATAGAAATATTGTAAAAATTTCAAATAGTTTTTTATTGCTATAGTTAAAAAAGTGTCCATTTGTTTATCTTAACATTACCCCTTCATACTTTATATTGATTTTAAATAAAACACATTTGATTTTTTTTAGTTCTTTGCAGTTTTCTCAACTATTTCCGAAAAAAGGCTTTATTGTTTAATTCTGTTCACTGGAACTCGTTCTTTACGCTTTAACTGTATAAATTTATTACAATAAAATAATAGTTAGGCTAGTCTGACAGTCATTTCATTGACAATTCACTTTCGTTCAATTACAATAATTTTAATTTTTAAGATAAGTTAACTAAACCTAAATTAAACTAAGTTTAAGCTTAAATTAACAGAAATTTTTTAAATTTTATTAAGAAATTAAATTTTTTTAATTAAATTAATCTTAAAGAATTTTTTTAATTAAATTTAATTCAAAACTTTTTTGAAAGTTAAACTCTATTTGAAAACATGTTTATTTAAACTTTTTATAGAAACACACTGCTTTTTCAATTTGTTTTATTTTTATTTAAACTTTAGTTAATTTTTATCAGTTTAGTTAACTACCCTTAAATTGGTGTGTGTTTGTTTCGAATTTAAATTTTCTTAACGGCCTAAAAAGATGTTTAAATTTTGTTTTTTTTTACTAAAAGCAATTACAAAAAAATCTTACGTATTTTATAAATTTTTAATTTAAAGCCAAAAATTACAAATAATTTAAAGAAGTGTGATTGTGTTTGAGTGTGTATGTTTTTTTTAATTTAATTTATAATTAAATCAACTTAATTACTAATACAAATACAACTAAAACTTTTTGTGTTTTTTTTTTGCAAAAAGTTTATAAATTAATTTAAATATGAAAATATTTACTTTTTAAGTTTTAAATATTAAATTTATTATAGTTTTATTATAATTTAAAAATAAATAAGCTGGCATAGGGTTAAATTGTTACATTATCTGTTGTTTTATTAAATTTAATAGTATTTCGTTTTTGAAATAATTTTCAAAACAAAAACTCTTAAACAGGAAAATAATTTTAATTGTTTTAATAAATATATTAAATAAAATATACATACAATATAACCTACAAATTCCAAAAAAAGAATTTTGAAAATTTTCAATATGTTTACATCTTAAAAAGAATTTTTACGTTAAAGGGTTAATTTATACGGTACTTCATTATATATTTTTCCTAAGTTGCATTTAAATCGATTGAAAACCAAAAATAATATGTATTTTACTATGGTTCCGAGAAAATTTCCCATTAATGTTTAGCTTAACTTAGACCTTTACAGTTTATGGGTTAATTTTATACGATTTTACTAAAACTTTCAGTTGTATGTTTCCTATTGTATGGAATTTTATATTGTGAATGCTTAACAGTAAGGAATTAAGATTAATTTTCAAAATAATTACCAAAAAAATAGTTTTCACCGAAATTCTCATAATTCAGAAAGCCTATATTGCTAATCTGTGAGAGATATCGTCATAATTTCTTTACTATTTTATTCTCTTATTTATTGTTTAGAAGTCACATGGAGATTTTTCCTAAAATTTTCAAATTTGCTTAAACAAATTGTTTAAAGTTTGAGAATGGAGTTTTGAAACTGCCGCCTGAAAGGTTATACCACTTAAGATCCTTAATTTATCGTCTTTCTAGAATGAATTTTTATAATAACTATTTAAGTTTTTTCATCGTTGGTCTATGTTATTTTTTAGTTCGAATCCTAAAGCTTATTCTTTGCATAGAATGTTGAAAAGTAAGTTAAATCCCCAAATATTCATATTTTGACTATATTTTCGGGTATCTCGATTACATTGGTCTTTTTCTTAGACATAATGTATATCAAATGAAAGGTCTTTCGAATATCTTTCCCAATATACACATTTTGATAGTTATATTAATAGAATATAAAAAATTTTTGGGTAATAATAGATTTCTTAGAAATTTTATCATATTCCGTTATTTATTGACCGATTTTGCAGATTTATACAGTCATGGACTTTGTATTGATTGTTTTAATCAGTTCCGTATCCAAGGAGCGGTTGGATACCTTTATAGAGGGATATTTGTAATATGGAACCCAACGATTTGATATCTGCTTTTGAATCGTAGCTCCATTTCGGAAGTCATTTAATAGAGTGTGCCCATCAAGGGTGTGGCGCTACTTTTGTCAAGACAAGTCTTGTCTGAAGCACAAACAAGCGCTGACACTGAAATAACCATTTTGTAAGGTGTAATTGTCACTAATTAGTATATTATCGGAATAATATTCAAAATTTTGGAAAAGTCATAGGTTTTCCCCGAATTTTTAACATATTTTTGTTGTTTATGTAGAGATTTTGCAGATTTTAAATAGCAAATTTCTCGAAAGAATGTCTCATTGAATTCGTTGAGCTTTTTGGACCCCAAAAATATTTGGGTCTTTTAGAACATATATTCCAACATACAAACATACGAGAAAAGGTAAGCTTTCTCAAGAAGTTTCGGACTATAAAACTAACTATAATTTTCCATTGCTCTTCCTTATTTATATTCCAAAATTTTTAAAACTTTTTTCAAAAAAAAGTGTTATTAAAAAAATATTTACTGTCCACTCATTTTAAAATATATTTATATTTAATACTAAAATTTATTGACACTTTCTAAAAAATGTTTAAAAATTTATACTGATTGCTTTTAAGTATTAAAAAATTTTATTGAAAACATTTATATTGTTTTTCTTAAAAATTTGCCATAAATTACACAAAAAACAAAATTACGTTTAATAAATTTAAAATAAGTACTTAAGAATTAATTACCTTTTTTATGGAATTTGCAATTAAAAGAAAATAAATTTCACCAAAAAAAAAAAAATTCAAATAAAAATAATTACAAAATTACAATTTTTATTTTGTTGAAATAAATAAAAGACTTGTAACATTTAGATAAATAATTACATTTATAGTTTATGATTAAAAAAAAGGGTTGTTAATTTACTTACCAATAATATTAAATAATTAAAAATAAATTAACTATAAAATAGTTTTAAGATTTTTGTTCTTAATAACAGCAGCTGCTAGCTTTTCCCTTTTGAAATTTAAAATTTATTAAGTCATTTGTTGTGAAGTTGACATTTAATATTTTTTCGTATATTAATAATTTATATAATTAATTTCTTATGAAAGTTTTTGACAGTTACTATTTGTAACTTTAGAATTTATTTTCTTAAATATTTAATAAAACTTTTTATTATTTAGGTTTAATTTCTGATCACTAGTTTATGGTTCTGCGAACCCTATTTTTGTATATTGATGTTTCTTTCTTTAAATATGTATATCTGTGTGCTAAACTAATTTCATTTTGGAAATGAAGAATATATTTACGGTTTGGTGTCAAATTCATTTTTACAAAGACCTACTGGAGATTTTTAAAAACTCCCAAATGCAGCTGCACCGCGAACATAACGTTATACGTTGAAACAAAAATTTTCTTAAAATTTCTAATTATTTTTTAACTATAAAATTAACTGGTAGTGCATTGAAACATTATGTATGTATATTTAAAATAAAAATAAATTAAAAAAAACTAATTTAGTGTTTAGATGTATCCTTCCCTTTGATTAAAATATAATAAAAAGAAGAATAAATAAATAAATTACCAGAAAGAAAACAATAAAAAGAAATTTCTTTATTAAGTTTTGTTTTAAGTTTTTTTCTCTTTCTTTTATTATTATTTTCTAGACTTTTGTTTAAGAGTTTTGTTTGTTTTTATTTTTGTTATACTATTAAATAATAATTTATCATTTATCATTCTTCTCATCATTCAGTATCATCATCATCATTATCATTATCTTTAACATGATCATATCATATTATTTATGTATGTTTTTTGTTTTTATTATTTTGTTTCTTTTCTGCTATATAACTTATTATTGTTGTACATACTACTACGAACTACTATAATGTTTATAAATATATGTAATGTTTATATATCTAATCTGTTATTGATATTTGAGCATACCCGACCAGCGAGCGATCATCGGGTACTTCACCCGGTTGTACCCCAGAATTCAATTGGAACGTAACAGTTTTTAAAGCAGCTCTTTGTTCAATTAACTGATGCAAGTTGATGGCCATGGGCTGCGTGTCCAGGGGATCGACGAGACCAGCATCCACCAGTTCGGCGGCAATTCCTTCGGCTGAATCCTTGCCAACGGCAAATTCAAAGCGTATATCGTGCAGCTCACGTCTTTGATTGCGCATGCGTAAGACGAGATTGACGGGTGGAGCTTCAGCGCCATCCGCTAAAGGTTGCGATATTTCGCCAGCTTGTGTTGATGTTACGGCGGCAGGTTGTTGTGGCGTTGCTTGTTGTGGTTGCTGTTGTTGTTGCTGCTGTGTTGGCATAGCATTAGCTGTGGCAGTGGCTGCTTCCGAAAATTCCGATTGCTCCTCTCGATCACTGTCCGAAGAATCAGCTCTTTCCAGACGATTAATGGGCCTATCGTCCGATTCCGAATCGGAGGAATGATGTTTGCCACCATTGTCTTCCTCTTCGCTGGACCACACCCATTCACCGGTGACAGTACGATGTAGACGACCTGATGCACCTGGTTGCCTCTTGGCAGCCTTGTGGACACGAGTCTCCATGGAGGGACCCGAGGCCAATAGGGTTTGGGTAAGATACTTGCGATCTTTGGCCTTTTTGAAGAAGGCATGTTTAAGCAATTCACTGGCCGTAGGTCGTTTTGAGGGCTCCTTCTGCAGACATTCCACAATCATTTTACGGAATGTTTTGCCATAAGCTTTGTACTGATCCTTTTCATCAGCTCCGGTATCCAAGGTGGGTGGATCGTTTTGTAGAGTTAACATTAATACCTTCATGGGTGGATATTTGTGGTAGGGAGCCGTGCCGGTGGCCATTTCAATGGCAGTTATGCCAAACGACCAGATATCTGCCTTAAAGTCATAGCCATGATCTTGTTCCATCACTTCGGGTGCCATCCAACAGGGTGTGCCCACAAAGGTGTGACGCACCTTTTGTCGCGACAAGTCTCGTCCGGTGGCTAACCAAGCGCTTACACCGAAATCCGCAATTTGTATGGTGCCATCGTCACCAATTAGTATATTACCGGCCTTGATGTCACGATGTATTTGTCCATTCGAGTGGAAATATTCGAGACCCTTCAACACCTCTTTAAGCACGGTGGCAATGGTGGCTTCGTCAAAGACACCATGTTTGCACTGGGTGGTGCGCATTTTATGCTTGATGATATCGAGCAAAGAACCGCCCTCGAGCAGGCGCAATACAAGCCACAGTTCTTCCCGTACCACAAATGAGGTGTGGTATGTTACAACATTTTCGTGATTACACGAAGACATAGCCTGTATCTCCTTAAGCAATTCATCCATAGAGGTGTTCCACTTTTCTAGATTAATGCGTTTGATGGCGCATTTTTCATTGCGAGGCAAACAAAGAGCCGCATGTACCACGGCAGTGGCACCCACGCCAATAACATCGCGCAATTCATAATCATCTTTGGAATTGGGCCAAGGTTGTTTCTCACTGGCGGTGGGTGCACCTGTGGTACTATTAACTGTAGCTGGTGTAGTCATATTGGTAGAGGTACGACTGCTGTTAGTGATAACGCTTTCGATGTCGGTTTCTAAAGATGTTTCCGATTTGAAACTGTTGTTTTGTGTGATGCTTTTCTCAGTAGGCGCTGGGCTCCTACGAGTTACTGTAGTTGTTTTATCTAAATTAGCTGTTAAACACTCGGTACGTCGGGATGTCAATAGTAGATCATTTAATGATCCTCTTACGTTGCCCTCTAAACGTGGTGGCGCTGTTAAACCTTTTGGTTTGGGATTATTAACTTCTTGATTTTGTATATTTTTAGGTTGCTGTTGTATCACCTTCAAATCATCTGTAGATTGTGATGACTTTAGGCTAATATTTTTTCCTGTATTGTGAAGATTGTTTAAATCGTTACACTGATCTGCCTCCTGAAAGGTTCTATAGATGGCTTTGCAATTATTTTCTGCAGCGGTTAAATCTGTTTCATCAACGGCAATCTCCTGTAGTATATCGTGCTTCCTGTGCGTGTGACCGTTGGCGAATTTCTCCTTGCTGGGGGTAGTTGTTATGTAGGTTTTATTGTGTGGTGCCACCAAACAGAAATTAAAGCTTCCCGGTTGTTTTGTGGAGAATGCAACTTCTGGAAAAATGGAAAAAAGAAAGTAGAAAAAAAAGATCTGCTATAGGTATTTTCATATTTACTGTGTTTGTTTTTTGGATTTTTTGAGATTTAGCTTTTTTATTTTCTTTTTTAAATTTTAAACTTGTTTTGATTTGTGAACTAAAGTTTCTAACAAAAAGCAAAGATACGATTTAGATTAATACTACCAGTTTTGTGGAACGGAAGGAAGGTTACTTAAATGGTTAGCTTTCGCAAAATGAAAAAATAAATTAAAAAAGATTAAAAAATTCTGGGAAATTTTTAAATTATTTTTATTCCGTTTTATCAAACTGGCAGTATTTTATATTTTAGCATATATTTTTTGAAAGCATTAATGTTAATGTTAATAAAATGTTAATGTTAATAAAACAGATGATTAGAGTATTAAAAGATATAAATTAGTTTGCAACTGAAATTAAAAGCTATAAATTTCTAAAGAAAACATTATTTAAAAAAAAATTATGAGATAAGTCAAAATCTAGGGACTAAAGCATACTTTTCTAAATGATTAGGCTACGCTGTCCATAGAATTTTACCATTTCATCAGGTTTTCGAGATACAAGTTTCGAAAAATCCAGTTTTTGACATATATGAAATCACCTTTTATAAATTTAGTTATGTTATATGAATATCCTACGTAATGGCTTCTTAATAAAGGTTTCTATCTTAATTTTATATTTTTAAACCTATTATAATGTATTTCAGATTATTAGCTGTCATATGATTTCAGAAATCAGTAAAATATTCAAAGAAAAAAACTATTGCGCGCGGTCATAAACCTTTGAAATTAATTTGTATTATTACGAATACAAGATAAAACAAAATATTTTCAAATTCAAACAAAAATTTTTAATGACAATATCAATATATATATTTTTACTTTCAAAGTACGTGTTAAATTATGAATATTTTTGTAAAAACATATTTAAGGTTAAATTGATAAAAAATTCAAGGTAAATAGCTAAATACTATTTTTATGATAAAATTTTACACACGTGTCTATGAAAATGATTACGATAAACAAATTTCACATGATCGAAATAACAAAAGATAAATAATATTAATAATTTTGACATTTTCATATTAAAAAAAAATATGCTACAATTTGAAAGCCATAAGGAGTAAATTAAATTTTAAATTTTGTAATTTACAAGAGTATTTTGTACTAAAAAAATAACAAAAACACAAAATTAAATTCTTTAAAAATCACTTCCACTAATTAACAGCGATGACTAATTGTCTAATTATTTTAAAATTGTTTGAATTTTGTTTTATCTATTCTAAACATTTAACACTTTGTCTTTGATTTTTACATAAAAAAAGCTCTATTGAAATATAAAAATAGTAAATTAAATAAAATATACAAAAAAGAAGAAAAAATTGTGTCAACTCATGTTTACGATAAAATAGTAGACACAACTGATAAAATAGAATTACAAACAAACAAACATATTTGTAATGATAATTTACATACATTTAGCTAAATACTAACAGAATGTAAAATAATGAAAAGTTTATTAACAAAATTTTTAGCCAGTTGCTTTGTTAATGTAAATTTCTAATAGATTTTTTTCAAATAAAAGAGACTATAAACTAGTATAGTCTATAGTCTAGATTATAGTCTACCATATAGTCTAGTCTGTAGTCTAGTCTGTAGTCTAATCTATGGTCTTATCTATAGTCTTGTCTATAGTATAGTGTATAGAATAGGCTATAGTCTAGTCTATAGTCTGGGCTATAGCCTGGTCTACTATAGTGTATAGTACAGTCTATAGTCTATTTTATAGCCTAGTCTAATCTATAGTCTAGTTTATAGTCTAGTCTATAGTCTAGTCTATAGTATAGTCTATAGTCTAGTTTATAGTCTAGTCTATAGTCTAGTCTATAGTCTAGTCTTTAGTCTAGTCTATAGTCTAGTCTATAGTCTAGTCTATAGTCTAGTCTATAGTCTAGTCTTTAGTCTGGTCTATAGTCTAGTCTATAGTCTAGTCTATAGTCTAGTCTATAGTCTAGTCTTTAGTCTGGTCTATAGTCTAGTCTATAGTCTAGTCTATAGTCTAGTCTATAGTCTAGTCTAGTCTATAGTCTGGTCTATAGTCTAGTCTATAGTCTAGTCTATAGTCTAGTCTATAGTCTAGTCTATAGTCTAGTCTATAGTCTAGTCTATAGTCTAGTCTATAGTCTGGTCTATAGTCTAGTCTATAGTCTAGTCTATAGTCTAGTCTATAGTCTAGTCTATACTAGTCTAGTCTATAGTCTAGTCTATAGTCTAGTCTATAGTCGTCTATGTCTAGTCTATAGTCTAGTCTATAGTCTAGTCTATAGTCTAGTCTAGTCTATAGTCTAGTCTATAGTCTAGTCTATAGGTCTAGTCTATAGTCTAGTCTTAGTCTAGTCTAAGTCTAGTCTATAGTCTAGTCTATAGTCTAGTCTATAGTCTAGTCTATAGTCTAGTCTATAGTCTAGTCTATAGTCTAGTCTATAGTCTAGTCTATAGTCTAGTCATAGTCTAGTCTATAGTCTAGTCTATAGTCTAGTCCTATAGTCTAGTCTATAGTCTAGTCTATAGTCTAGTCTATAGTCTAGTCTATAGTCTAGTCTATAGTCTAGTCTAGTCTAGTCTAGTCTAGTCTATAGTCTAGTCTATAGTCTAGTCTATAGTCTAGTCTATAGTCTGTCTATAGTCTAGTCTATAGTCTAGTCTATAGTCTAGTCTATAGTCTAGTCTATAGTCAGTCTATAGTCTAGTCTAGTCTATAGTCCATAGTCTATAGTCTAGGTCTATAGTTAGTCTTAGTCTAGTCTATAGTCTAGTCTATAGTCTAGTCTATAGTCTAGTCTATAGTCTAGTCTATAGTCTAGTCTTAGTATAGTCTATAGTCTAGCTTATAGTCTAGTCTATAGTCTAGTCTATAGTCTAGTCTATAGTCTAGTCTATAGTCTAGTCTATAGTCTAGTCTCTTAGTCTAGTCTATAGTCTAGTCTTTAGCCTAGGTCTATAGTCAGTCTATAGTCTAGTCTATAGTCTAGTCTATAGTCTAGTCTATAGTCTAGTCTATAGTCTAGTCTATAGTCTAGGTCTATAGTCTAGTCTATAGTCTAGTCTATAGTCTAGTCTATAGTCTAGTCTATGTCTAGTCTATAGTCTAGTCTATAGTCTAGTCTATAGTCTAGTCTATAGTCTAGTCTATAGTCTAGTCTATAGTCTAGTCTATAGTCTAGTCTATAGTCTAGTCTATAGTCTAGTCTATAGTCTAGTCTATAGTCTAGTCTATAGTCTAGTCTATAGTCTAGTCTATAGTCTAGTCTATAGTCTAGTCTATAGTCTAGTCTATAGTCTAGTCTATAGTCTAGTCTATAGTCTAGTCTATAGTCTAGTCTATAGTCTAGTCTAGTCTATAGTCTAGTCTATAGTCTAGTCTATAGTCTAGTCTATAGTCTAGTCTATAGTCTAGTCTATAGTCTAGTCTATAGTCTAGTCTATAGTCTAGTCTATAGTCTAGTCTATAGTCTAGTCTATAGTCTAGTCTATAGTCTAGTCTATAGTCTAGTCTATAGTCTAGTCTATAGTCTAGTCTATAGTCTAGTCTATAGTCTAGTCTATAGTCTAGTCTATTAGTCTAGTCTATCGGTTAGTCTCTAGTCTAGTCTATAGTCTAGTCTTATGTCTAGTCTAAGTCTAGTCTATAGTCCTAGTCTATAGTCTAGTCTATAGTCTAGTCCTATAGTCTAGTCTATAGTCTAGTCTATAGTCTAGTCTATAGTCTAGTCTATAGTCTAGTCATAGTCTAGTCTATAGTCTAGTCTATAGTCTAGTCTATAGTCTAGTCTATAGTCTAGTCTATAGTCTAGTCTCTAGTCTAGTCTATAGTCTAGGTCTATTAGTCTAGTCTATAGTCTCGTCTATAGTCTGTCTAGGTCATAGTTCTAGTCCTATAGTCTAGGTCTATAGTCTAGTCTATAGTCTAGTCATAGTACTAGTCTATAGTCTAGTCTATAGTCTAGGTCTATAGTCTAGTCTATAGTCTAGTCTATAGTCTTAGTCTATAGTCTAGTCTTTAGTCTAGTCTATAGTCTAGTAGTCTAGTCTATAGTCGGTTATAAGTTCTAGGTCCTATAGTCTAGTCTATAGGTCTAGTCTATAGTCTAGTCTATAGTCTAGTCTATTAGTCTATAGTCAGTCTATAGTCTAGTCTTATAGTCTAGTCTATAGTCTAGTCTATAGTCTAGTCTATAGTCTAGTCTATAGTCTAGTCTATAGTCTAGTCTATAGTCTAGTCTATAGTCTAGTCTAGTCTATCTATAGTCTAGTCTATAGTCTAGTCTATAGTCTAGTCTATAGTCTAGTCTATAGTCTAGTCTATAGTCTAGTCTATAGTCTAGTCTATAGTCTAGTCTATAGTCTAGTCTATAGTCTAGTCTATAGTCTAGTCTATAGTCTAGTTTATAGTCTAGTCTATAGTCTAGTCTATAGTCTAGTCTATAGTCTAGTCTATAGTCTAGTCTATAGTCTAGTCTATAGTCTAGTCTATAGTCTAGGCAGCTATAGCCTAGTCTATAGTCTAGTCAGCTATAGCCTAGTCTATAATCTAGACTATATTCCAGTGTCGAGGCTATAATCTAGACTATAGTCTAGTCTGTAGTCTAGTCTATAGTATAGTCTAGTCTGTAATCTAGTCTGTAGTCTAGTCTGTAGTCTAATCTGTAGTCTAGTATGTAGTCTAGTCTGTAGTCTAGTCTATTGTCTAGTATACAGTCCAGTCTATAGTCTAGGTTATGGTCTAGTCTATAGTCTGGTCTATAGTCTAGTCTATAATCTAGTCTATGGCCCAGTCTATAGTCTATTCTATAGTCTAGCCTATAGTGTAGTATATAGTATAATCTGTAGTGTAGTCTATAGTTAGACTATAGACTAGTCTATATTATAGTCTATAGTCCAGTCTAATGCCTATAATTTAGTCTGTAGTCCATGGTCTAGTCTATTCTATAGTCTAGTCTATAGCCTAATCTATACTGCATTCTGTAGTGCAGTCTATGGTCTGGTCTACAGTCTACATTTCAATCTAGTCAATAGTTTAGTCTATAGTCTAGTGTACAGTCTAGTCTATATATAAAAATAGATCTCAAAAATAAATTCCTTTACATTACTGCAATTACTATAATTTTTCTACGTAAATTTCCCTATCATTGTTTTCGGTTCTGTGTATACTTTTTCCAAAAGTATGTGTAAATGTTGCATTAAGTATTTAATCTCTGTTTTAATTATATTTTTTTTTTGTTGGTTTCTTTCTAAAAATAACATTAATTGCGGTCATTATCATTGTACTCGTATCTATAAAAACCGTCAACCAACCCTCCCTCCATTTAATGTATAAAAAAAAAATTAATTTCATACTTTTAAACCATGAATAAATATATTTCCACATTCATATCTGTAAAAATACCAAAATACACACTTCTATACATAATAACAAATGGTGAAATACCGCTCAAATGCCAGTGTTCAATTGAAAAAAAAAAAGACCTAAATTAATTAAGTATAACCCAGCAAACACAAACGTTTTATTTCAATAATATTTTCGACTATAAACATTTTCAATACCAAACAAACTGCATAAACAATAAATACCTCTGGATAGACAATGGAAAATGTGGGCTAGATCGTCTAAGAATAAAATTAATATTTAGGACCCATCAACTTCTTTTGTAGTAGATATAACTAGAAATCTAAAACCTACATATGGTAACCTTTAACTAAAGTATTTAAAATTCTTATTTTGTTTACCTTATATACTGGATCTTTGAAAAATTATAAAAAATAATCAATGAGTCAAAAACAATTCAAAGATAAGTCGTAAATAAAATTTTAATGGATTTCCAAATACAAGAAACAAAAATTTACAATTTCGTATTAAAAATAAACTTTTTCTTTTAAAAATATAAATAAATCTTTTAGGAAATTTGTTTTTCCAAATCATTGATTTTTTTTAAATAATTGCAAATAAAGTTTTAAGTAACATTAATATAAAAAAGTAATTAGCTTTTTTTAATGGAAAATTTTAAGAAAAAAAAAAAAAACAAATAAGATTGAAATGATATTAAAATAAAAAAAGATTCCATTAAAAAATTTATACATTTATTTAATAAATGGAATTTTTTTTGTTAGCGTCATTAGGAAAAATAAATACTTTTTTGGTAAAGTGTGTTGAAAATTATTTCATTTTATCATTTATGGCATAAATTTAAATGTACAACAACAATAGCAAATACAATACAGAAACAAATGAAATGCGTAAAATAAAGTTCAATAAACTTTAGTAAACCAGAAAAAACAACAACAAACAATAATGAGTGTGAATTTTAAAGAAAAAAAAAAAAATATTATGACACATGTTAATGACGAACGAACGTAATGATGAAAACGGGTTGTAAAAGTTAAACAAAAATTACAACATTTTTAAAAATTTTACACTTTATATTTGACAAAAATGCCCGGTTATATGACAAAGACTAGACAAAATCAAAAATGGTTAGTTTTTGAACATTTTGTTTAAGAATATTGAACATATCGTTGCTATTGATGTGACTGACGTCTTTTTTGCTAGAAGGTACTAAACACTGAAAAAAATATTTATCGTGTTTCTAAATTAGTCTTAACAAAATTAATAATTTCTTTTTATAAACAAAATTGATTTCATTTCAATTTAGAAAAGAAAAATAATTTAATCAAATTTATTTACCAACAACATAGTGTTAAAAAAATTAAAAAAAAAAGCTTAATTGTATATTTATCAACTTAGCAACAGACGAAAAAACCGCAAAAAAATCTATAGACAAATAAAAACAACAATAATAAAAAAGTGAAACTAAAGCGAAAAATTTCACGTCTTTTTTCTTAGCAAAAAAAAAAAAAAAAAAACAAAACTACAATAAATATACAAATAAATGCATGATATCTTGTCAAGTAGAAGAAGAACACAAAAAATAGCAGGCGCTAAACAAAATATACTACACAGCGAAAAAAAATCAAAATAAACAAACTTTTTAGAATGTGACAGAAAATCACGCGCTTAAAATAATAAAACATTTAAAAATATTTCTTTTTTTCTAACAATAAAAAACAATTAATTTTTTGTTTGTTTTTTTTTTCAATTCAGATTTCATATTTAGTATACAAAGTTATAAATGGAATTTTTAAGATGTTTTTTTTTGCTTGTTTTATAAAAATTATTCAGAAATGTACTAAATTTTTATGGGAATTTACCGTAAGCTGAACTAAATGTGAAGACGATGACCCAACATATACACAAGTTAAAAGTGCTAAATAATAATGTTAATTTACCTGAGTATGTATGTGTGTAGGAATATAAAGAGAAGTTTTAGAACTAAAATCTGTCCCTTTGGCCAAAGAACAAAGAACTTTAAACACATTTATGACGAATTGTATCTCAATATCGTAATTTAGTAATCTGTTTACGTGATTTTCGGAAGTATACATTCATCCCTATTCTGCATTTCAATCCGAATCGAAGTTTATTTCGTTTGGCAACTTTGGTATTCTGCATTTCGATTCGAAGCTCCGTCACTAAAATAAAAACTTGCAAAAACGTAGTTACGATCGTAATCCAGAATACATACAATCATAAAGCATTGAAATAAAATGGAATTTCTTCTTCTTTTTCTAACGATTCCGTTTTTTTTTTTGTTGGAATATTAATTTTCGATCGTAGAGTAACTGAATGCGGAAACGTAATCGAAATGCAGAATGGTGGGTGTTTATATGGGAGCTATGAACAATTACGGTTGATAGCCCGTTTTATTAACCCTTTCAGGGTCAAAAATAATTTATGTCTAGAAAAAAACTTGAAAACTTGTATTTAAGATAATTTGAGTATGCTGAATCCGTTCTCCTAAAATACATTTTTTTTTGGCCATTAAATGAAGCTGTTTTTTAAACGTTGTTAAAAAGCACTTTTTAAAAAGTAGTCATAAGTGACAATTTCTTAAAATCTCATTTTTAAATACTTTTCAAATACGGAAGATCTTTCAAAATCTCAATTATAAATATAATAAAGTCTTCATTTTCATCTAAAAGAAAAAAATTAAAGTTAAATATTATACCCAAAAAATGCTTAAAAACAGAGTCTAAAAAACGATAAAAAGAAGGAAAATACCAACAATTGCAGTAAAAATTATCTACTTGACCCCTTTACACAATAAAGGGTTAAACTATTTATTACCGTCTTATAATTGTAGCAAGTATTTATAAAAGAAAAACAAAAGAAAACAAAAAAAGAGTACGAGACTTATCATTCCAATAACAACAACTAAAGACAGATAAAATTATCAATCAAAATCACGAGATACTCATAAATAAATGCTGAGTAAAGACATTTTCAGTTCAAATTGATAAGTATTAAAAAACACTATAGTGTAAAACCACAAACTCACTGTACTCACACTAATACTTAAACTGCAATAACAACAAATATCAATAAACTGCATACAACACAACAAATCAAAACAAATTAAAAACAGTAAAAAGAATCAACATTACAAAAAAAAAAATGTGGCACAAATGTAAAAAAAAAATCAATATGTAAATAAATTTGTAAATAAATTACATTTTGTTGAGGTTGAGTTTTGTTAATAAATATCACAGTTGTGTAGTTGGTTGCTGCAATTAGTTTTGTAGCTCTTAACTGGTTAATTGATTTTAAATGATTACTTTTTTTCAACTTTTAATTGAAATTAAACTCGAAATTTTTATAAAATATTTTTTTAGTATTTTAAAGATACGCGCGCGCATCTATAAGTGTTAACAAATAAATAGAACGTTTTTTTTTTCGTGTCGTGTTTTTATTCAGCTCTTCTCGTACTGACGCGTTAAGTCGCTCGAACCGTCATTTAACAACTGAATAGGAAAAAAATTCAACATTATTCACTGTTTTTTATTTTCTTTCTTTTTTTTATATTTTGCCACAGCTTGTTGTATATTTGGTTGCGAAGATACACTGAGACCAACGTACAAATTTGTTATTTAAACAAAACATAGTGTAGTACAGGGATGGAAAATGGAAATTTGAAAATATTACAGTGGTTTCCCGGTTTAACGAAAGATATAATGTCAGGCCCATTCGTAAAAACGAAAAATTCGTTAAATCGAATAACAACTTTTCTATGATTTAATGGTAAAAATAGGGTAATGGAAGGAAGGAAGTCAATTTTTTAATCTTTTTGAAGTTTTTGACAATTTCCTTGCATTTTTATAAATTTAGAATCAAAAGAAAATTAAAGATTTTATGAAAAATTTAATTAAAATTATGTAAAAAACTATATTTTTTGTTTAATGAAGGTAAAGTTGTTTCATTACGAAAATGAATTCATTTCTTATAAAAAAACAAATTAGGGATTTGATCCCCATTTTAATCGATGTGAATTCTAAGTATTTTACGGCAATTTTCATTACAAACAATTCCATTTCTCACTTTATTAGTAAAATAATCATAATATTCCCTTAAATAAAGAATTTTATATTTCCTAAAATAATTTTTTAAATGTTATTTTCATTTCTATTCCTGGATTTTTGTATTTGTAAATTTTGTACCCATTGAATTGCTTTTGGTTAATAATGAAGTTTAGTGATATCTCCGTATTATTTTTTATAGAAAATTTTTTGGAAATTCGTTATATCGAGTACAAAATTTACTCATTCATTCGTAATATAAGGTACTCAATGGAAACAATTTGCCGGTTCGTTAAATCGCGAATTCGCTAAACTGAGTATTCGTTAAACCGGGAAACCAGTGTATTTACTTTTATCAAAAAAATTAATACTGGTCAATGAAGTAGTGTATTGACTGCTTCTAGAACTAGACAAGATCATAAACAACAAAAGTTCCTAGACTATGGACGAGTCTAATCAATTAACTAGAGTTTGGATTAGTCCTTAAAACAAGTATCTAGACTACAGACTAGTCTATAGACTAATATATTGACTAATATTTTGATTAGTCTTTGGATTAATCTACTTTGCAGATCTATTAAAAGTTAATGGACTAGTCTATTGATAAATCTTAGATTAGTCTATATGCTAATCTACTGACTAGTTCATCTGTAGTTAATGGATTATCCAGTTGATTTTATTTAGGTCGTAACGTTACTACGATAATTTTCGTTGTCATAAAGTACAATAGTACTAAATTTGCCATCTCTGGTGTAGCGTAGAGTACACTTAAAAAGGCAAAGAGAGCGGTCTAAAATACAAGAGCCGAAGAGTAGAGGAGAAAAGCTTTTCTTTTCGTTTTATATTAGTGATAATACATTCATGTGTATTACGTTAGCAAATAAGTGATGCCAACTTCTACTCATTAAAGGCAATATCACAAAAAAATCTTTAGCGTTATAACCTTAAAAAAACGTTATCACTAAAATATCAAACTGATTGGGAATTAATGAAAGTAATTTTAGTTTTCTTTTCTTTTAAATAGATAATTTTTCTATTTGTAAAGTACAAAAAAAAAAAAAAAAAAAAAACACTAAATTGCTATTACTGCCGAGTACTTATCTAGGTTTGTTGTTATTTAGTTATTTCTATTGTTTTGTTTGTTTTCCACGTTATTACGTTAGACGTCAAACAGACGACAGACAAATGGGTGAATAAAATAAATGAAATGAAAAAAAATTCCAAAAATTAAAATTAACCGCCTAGTGGGTTTGTTGGGAGGCGGTAAGTGGTGGTGGTGAGTAGGTCAGTATGTACTTGGGTGCACAAGTAGAAATGTAAATATTGTTTGTTGTTCCAAAAGTAATGACAGTAAAAGAGGTGTGTGTATGGGTACGAGTTTTATTTATTATTATTATTTTTTTTTGCCAACGTCAAAGAAGATTTGTGTAAACAAGTGCTTTAAAGGATTAATATAGTTCGTTTTATGGCTGAGGGAATTTTTATATTAAATAATAATGTTCGGTAAGAAATGCTTTAGTGATGAAATAATAAAATAAACATCTAAATTATTTTATGAGTTAGATATTAAAGTAATTATAATTATAAATTAATGTATGGAAATCTGTAATGATCTTTTCAGTTCGCTAGAAATATGTAAAAGTCTGCATATGTATAAAAAAAACATGCCAAAACCCGAAACCGGGTTTCGTGCCGAAACTGAAATAAATATTGTAATTATTTGTAGTGGGAGTGAAATGAGTCAGTGCTGACTTAATCAGACCTCAGACCCAAAAATTTTAATAAATGGACTACTGGATGGATGTTTCGTCTCATATAGTCTATCATGAGCGATAACTTAACAAAACGACTTTTTAACTCCCTGTTTATAAGTACTTATTTGTAAGCAAGGGTGATAAGCACTTAAGGGCCCTTCAGACGATCACACTTTACGTACGACAAGTCTAATGAAAAAATAAAATGAAATTCCATCTGTATGACAAAAAAGAGAATAAAAGTAGTATGATGTATATTTTTGTGTTTACACGATTGGTATAAAACAATAACAAAGTAAGATGGAAACAGCTGCTTTACATTTTTTGTATGTTTTACATAAAAATACATCCCTGATCTAATGCGACTTGCTTGTTTTTTGAATCATTTTAAAAAAATGAAGAGAGCCATACGACTGTCAAATTTTCCATCCGTATTCTCTCTCAATGTGTGATGATTTCGTTATATATTTCGTTTAGACAATCCCATCCGTTCTCTTCTACTCAAAATTTTGACAGATCATATTACTTGTGTGCTCGTGTGAAGGGGGATTTGACTCCAATGCCATCCTGTTAAAATAATGAGTTAAAATTCTAATGAAAAATAAGTGAAAAGCCGCTTATTTAGCTTTTGAACTAATTACTTTTCAATGTAGGTTTTTGCCAAGATACAATAATTCCTAAGAATATTATTAAAAAGTCAATATTTGTAAAAATTTTGTTGCTTTAATTTACTTTTTTGTCATTTCATTATCTTAGCAAATAATCATCGCTAAAAAACAGCAATGCTAATAAAATTTTAAAAAACATTTCACGCAAAAATACAAGCCACGCATTACGTATGAAAATATTTTTGTATGATCAATTTTTAAATTTATTTCTTTCGAACTCGATGAAATATTTTTGTTCACACGTTTCATTAAAAATAGATCTGCAAAGCGACTGTGTTGACATGTAGTCAGCATAAATATTTTTTGTTTGTTTTTTTAAGTTAAGGAATTTTTCATGTGCATTTCAATATAAAAACGACAAAATGGGTGTTACAAAAATAGAAAAAGAAACAAATGACATGAACAGAAGCAAAAAATTAAAAGCGAAATGACTAGACATGAAGAGTAGGAAGAAAAAAATGCATATTGCAACATGTCCAATTTGAGGAAAAACAAAAAAAAAAGTTTATTAAAAAATATATGTATATGTATGTACGTAAACTTTTGGATTTCGTTAAAAAGTATCACTAAATGCGATAAATAGTTTATTGTCATATATATAAACTATATGATTACAAAAGGATTTAAATAATTTCACTTGGTTGGACATGGTTGGAAAATTTAACCCTTTCAGGGTCAAAAATAATTTATGTCTAGAAAAAAACTAGAAAACTTATATTTAAGATAATTTGAGTATGCTGAATCCGGGAAAAATAATATTTTTTGAATTTGAGTTTTCCCTAGTGAGTTATAGAAGGTCAAAGTTAAATGTCGAATATATTCGACATTCGAAAAACAGTCACCAAAAAGTACTACCCATATTTTTTATGATTTTTTTTTTTTTGTAAAATGTCTTCTTAAACTTCTTTCAATACAATACAATTTAAATCTGAATAGTGCGATCTCCTAAAATACAATTTTTTTGGCCATTAAATGAAGCTGTTTTTTAAACGTTGTTAAAAAGCACCTTTTAAAAAGTAGTCATAAGTGACAATTTCTTAAAATCTGATTTTAAAATATTTTAAAAATACGGAAGATCTTTCAAAAACTCAATTATAAATATGTATAATAAAGTCTTAATTTTCATCTAAAAGAAAAAAAATTAAAACTAAAGTTAAATATTATATCAAAAAAATGCTTAAAAACTGAGTCTATTGTAATGTCGAATATATTCGACAAAACCATAACAAATCCAAATTGTTTTGTTCTTTACCAGTAATAACCTATTCAGCTAAATGAAATAATGTGGATGATAATGAACACTCATTACCAAGTAATGTATGAAATAACTACTGGCTATTACCAAAAATTTCAGATTTTTTGCTGGGTAGTAATGGTTTATTAAATATATTAAAACAGTAACTAATTATAGTTTCCAGGAAAAATCTTACGACTGTATTTATAAAAACTTATTTTAGGTTTATTAAACAATTTTAGGCAAAATTCAGGAAAATCGTATTTATAAACGTGAAATAGCTTAAAACACCTTCAATAAACCATTGACAATTAGAAGAATTTTATTGTAGGCTCGACCCTTCTTTAAGCCAACAATAACTTGATTTTTAAAAATTTTTTTCTCAGATAAAGATTTTTCCGGTAATTTTAGGTTGATTGCGAAAAGTAATTATGGTTTCTTTTAAAATAAAATCTAAAAATTCTAATTTTAACGTTTACAAATTTGTAAATAAAATCCCAGAAAATTTTTAAACGATTATATTTTGAGGAAAAAACTCAAATCTTGGCATTATTGGATTAATGCATGAATATTTGACAATATTCCAATTGTCCAGCACTATTTTTACGCAATTTGGAAATGCCCGTCTGTCAACCAAATGATGGACAAAATCATTTGATTTGTCTTTTTCAAAGTTTGTTGGTTAAATATAATGCCATAAAGTAATTAACCATGTAAATTATATTGATTAGTGTTATACTAATGCAAAATATATTCGCCGGCATTAAAATTAGTCAAATATCAAA